CACCCAYRTAACGTGATGATGTYATCATGTACGCCATASATGATGACGTATTTCCCTATACGTGATGATGTAACTTGATCAAATTCGAATGGCTCTATGAAACAAAYGGCTCCTCAAGATCTGGATCCCTTCAATAAGCCATTTATCCCATCACTGGACGTCTGATGAAAAAGTACAAACACACTGTTAGACTATAATAATGTTCAGTCTGTGTATTTTATGGTTATCCTAGTACACAGKGAGTTTCATTCCAATGTTTATGGTCAAACAGAAGAACAATTCGATACTTCAATCTTTACAAAAATGCAAAATAAGTGCAGGTAAAAGTCTATTTATTACTGAGGACTGGTCAGTTCTTCACATAATGAGGGAGCTTAGCTTTTTAATTMTTCATTAATGCAGATATTCATGCTTTTATTTGATATTTTCTTGCTTGTGTTCAAGTTTCTTATTAAAAACGTAAAACTCTAAATCTTTCTTTCTTTGTGTAATTTCACCAGGTTTTTGTTCTTGTAGAGTTTATTTATCTTAAATTTCTGGTTGTTGACCAAAATAAGTTTCCTGGAGGTGCACCGGCTGGTTCTTACATTGAACTCTCATTCCAGCAGCATTTGGCCATCTTCATCATCTTTGTTCTGATGGTTTGTCCCTGATTTAAGGAGATACCTCCTCTGGGTGATGCACTTACTTCTGACAGCTATAGTTACACCTGCATCGTTTTAAGAAAAAATACATTTCTGCAGTTAACTGGTGACATACATATTCTGAGTGCAGTGTTGTATAAAATATCTCAGTGGTACTTGAGGTAAAGTACAAGAAAAGTACCTTTATATATTCATATAAAATTACTTTGGTAAAAGTTAGTCTCTTTTAAGAATATTACTTCAGTAAAAGTCTTAAAACATCTGACATTTACTGTACTTAGTTATGAAAAGTACATTTCTGATTTAAAATGTACATAAGTATTAAAAGTAAAATTATTGAGTAAAAGTGAGCGGTTAGAATATCCAAAATGCCATTTAGTGGCAGGTGACCTTCACCAAAAAAACGTTTTTCTAAAGGCCATAATGACTGTACAAATGTTTTTATATGTGAGAAATAGAAATTGCGTGAAAATGGAGTAGAACTAAAATGTTGGCTGGTAGGCTGGTTCACTGGTTTGGACCTGGGGTCTTTCTGTGTGGAGTTTGCATGGTCTTAAGTTTGTGTGGATTTCCTCCCACTGGTTTTCCTGTGAGATCTGTGATCTAAGTGGGCTTAAATAAAACCACACCCACTAGGGGTCCCCACAGCATGAGAACCACTGCTCTGCTGTCCGATGGCTCAATATACAGACTCTGACTTTCCACAACCATCATAGTTTTCAAGTCTTTCACTCAAGATAAGAATGGTGGATCAAGAACCATCTACTGTACGTCTGACTGAGGTGGTTAAAAGCTGAGATAAAATGACTGATTCAAAATGAGCAGAAACTAAAGTTGACCTGTTTTCAGTAACGTCTTTATTATCTGACCTTAGGTCCACAAAACTTGTTCAACATGACCTCAGTCTTTGAAACAACTGCTTAGATGAATATCTTCTAACTGCAYGACATGAAACTTCACTAAGTTATTTGAAAAAGACTCAAAGAACTTTAACTTGAGTTGTTTCTTAAAAGTATAACCTGCCAATTAAATGTCAGTAAATTGCCTCTTTTTTACTGCTTGCAAAACAGAAAAACCTTTTGAAAGAAAAATGTGTGCTGCTTCAAACGTCCAACTTTTTGAACATTTTATTCTGATTGTCTGTTAGTCATATAACTTTTATTCTTTCAGTCCATTTGACCAGACAAAGACTTGATCATTCAATCACAGAACATTTAGAGTAAATTTAGAGCTTATTAAAACAACAATGCATTAAGATCATCCGCTAACATTCATTTATCAGATGAGTTAGCTGAAAGGATTAGCCTTCAGTAATCCTGTTTGATGCAACCCACCACTTCCTTGCCTTTTCCCTCAGGACCTGAGGCGAGAGGATATTCTTTTGACTGACAATTACAGATAATTACAACGTCAGAGTGAAAGCTTTATTTAACAAGCCGTGTCCTAAATTACCTATAATTGATGTGGTCATTTAAAAAAATCATTGGCAATGTTTGACAACTCCTTTTGCATTTCCAGATGTTTGAGGGGGTGAAAGACGTGACCTGCTTTTTTCTGATTTATGACTTCAGAGAAAATGGCTTCAGGCCACTGGCTGCAGAAAAAAAGCCCACCTTGAAGAGGAACATGTTGTTTTAACAATATGTTACTGATGCCTGAACTGAATATTGTTTGTCAAAGGTGCAAAATGAAATTAGAACCACTGTCTGACCTTAGTTGAGTGAAAGCAATATTTATTGGAACAACAAGGATCCCTGGAGCTTATTTGCTTTAGAAAAAAAATACTTGGTTCAGACCTTTGTCTAAAAGAGTTTGTTACAAAACATCAGTTCATTCTTTGAGGTTAGTGAATAAATTTCAGGCAGGAGATCATGGATTTTTAACATAATTGGAAACAACCAGCGAGATGAAGTCCTGCTTAATGACCTCATGAGGAAAGTTGTTCAAACAAAAAGAATCATTAAAAATGATTGAAACTGACAAAAGTCAAGATCCATCACAAAATAAATGAAAATGAATGAAACTTTTTGCAACAAAGATAAATCTAAGATAAATCTAACTTAAAAACATGAATAAGAACCTAAGTCTCAATTATTAAAGTTTATGACTTTCTTGATTCATTAATCTCCTCTCTATAGCTTATTTAGCTCCAGAGTAGATTTACTGTATTTGATCAGTGTGTAAAGCTTGTCCAGTGATGGTGTTACAGTTTTTATACCTTCATGTTCGAACATGGCAGAATAATGTGTGGAACTTTGTGCATTTTGCTCATTGTGAGCAAACTGTTGGTCATGTCAGTGGTATTCTCAGGCAAAAATGATCATGGATCTATAAGATAGTTCAGGAAAACCCTCTAAATACAAACATTTGGATGAAATTGTTGGTGAGAACGTTGCGCTGCAATATAGTGACCAGTAATATTTTGGTGTGGAGGTTCATGGTGTTAATTCTGCCTATTCTTTATATGGTAAAGCCATGGGTGCCACTGTCTGGAATGAAACGTGCTCAGACTGGATTCCCTGCTTACCATCCCTACTCATGGAGAACTTTGTGTTCCCAGACCTTTGTAACTATTTTATTCACGAGCTGTTGTATTATACAGAACAACTGCACAGTTACAAGGCCCTTCAGGCACATAGCCAGCTGATATAGCAATGGTTAACACATGTAGTTGTGTAAACCCAAATAGGACTTTTTGTTGTCATGGATAAGGCGAGTCCGATGTGTGGGTCTGGTACAGTACGAGTGGAATCCTATTTGAATATGCATTTCAATATTTATACCTTATTAACACTTTTGAGTTTGAATTCAAGGGTGTATTCAAACCTGACACATTTGGTCAGCTTTAAACAGACCATAGTTTGTTTTCCCCAGTTGGTTCGGACCTTTTATGCAGATGTGAATACACTCAYGAAAATCCCTGGTGCAGATTAAACAACCAGATTGAGACCCATTTTTGAGGTGGTCTCAGTCCACTTCCAAATGAACTCTAGTGCGGTTCACTTCTGATGTAAATACAGAACAGCCCCAAACCGAACCAACTACAGGAAACATACTCCTTTTTGGACTTCACAGACCACTGTAGCTATGCAAAATTAGTCCTCCAATGTTGCTGATGCTAACACTATACTACAAACAATAGGCCGTTGTGGGTCAGAGAACGTGGATTATCTTGTCTCCTTCAGGTTGTGGCACACATTTGACAGCGCTGTCCCAAAATTATATGTATATCACCGCAAAACCACACTGAATGAGCTGCTCTTGATATTCTTAATAGTCACTTCTATTAAGAGCACTATTGTTTTTTACCGGTCTGTGTTCTGTCCTGCCCCCATCATTTCTGTCCAAAGGAGCAATTAGTGTCACCTGCATGCCTTTGTATATAAATTATAGTCCACTTGCATAAAGCACAATGTGAATGCAAACCACACCAAAGGAAAAAAAACAAAGTCTGCTATTTGGTCTGGTCCGAAACAAACAAGTGGACCAAAGAACTTTCCTGGTGTGAATACACCCCAAGTTTTCAGGTTAATAGAAAAACCTCCAGGCTCCCTTCATACTGGACGACGACTCATCTATGGCGTTTGAAAACTCAGTCTAAACCCACATTGACTTTCTAGGTTTTTAGAGAGGTCTCAGAAGGTGATGGTCTACTATTCACACACATCAGAGCAGGATAGGTTTGTGATGGCCTTAAGCAGGAAATAAATTTTTGTAGCAAAACTGTGGTGTTTTATTGTTATGGAGGCAATGTATCTGTGATTTGCACTGTTGCAGCCTCATCGTTGGGAATTTGAAGCAGAACGGACCATGGTGGAGTCATCATGGCACCATCATTTTAACAAGGTCATGGAAACTATCTCAGGCAGACATGGTACCCACGATGACAGCATTGTGCTAGCAAGGCATAATCTACTAGCTTCATTCTGATGTGATCTGTGGTTGGGTTTGGGCATGGGCTCAGTAAGAACACAGGTGAGCATCTCAGGAACAAAGAAAACAGAAACTGTTGGGAAGCACTAAACGAGTAACCACAACTAAAGTTTTCCAAATTTGCTTTCAGTTTAGCCACAAGGAGAGCACAGCAGGGTCTAACTAAAACTACTCTAGATGTAATCAGGTCATGGACATGTTGTGATTTTTTTTAACATAGGTAACCAACTTAAATATTTGCCATGAGTCCTAGCTTTTGGAATGGGCTTAATGGCTGCTAGCCATTTAGACCTTCAGAGAGACAAAACAATGATTCAACAACAAAGATTCCAAACCTAAAGTTGAATGAGATGTACCAATATTTCAGAAACTTGGTAGCATGTGACAAATTATTATTATTTTAAAACAAGTCTATGAAACTCATCAAATGAACCTACTTGATTTTATTTAGTTCTTTAAAGCTGATCCACCTTAACAGCAAACCACTAAGGTTTATTGAATCAGTACAGTTTATTAAAAAAAAGGTTTCAGGAAGTCTGATGGAACCAGCATTTTTACACGTTTCTGTTTCACCGTGATCCAAAATGAAAGCATCTTATATATTTATTGTCCTGGACACAGTACTGTCATTAGCTGTTGCTTAATCCAAAATGGCTGTCTGGGGACAAAAAAAAAGAAAGATCATTAAAACTTTCATTTACTTGTTTTTGGTAAGCTTTAGTTTCCTCTAACTACAAATTTGCAYGTTGGTATCTGTTTTCAAAGGGTTAGGACACGTTGCAGCAACAGTAAATCTGTGTTTTATGCTGGTGAAAGTTCTCAGTCATCCAAGACATGAAAAATTCCCCAAAAAATAAAATATAACAAAAAACAAAGCAAATAGTTGTTTATTCTGTAGCTGATTACGTTTCTCTTCTGGTGAGATTTCAAACAAAACTTCAACTACAGAACAAAATTCCAGTTGCTTTTAGATGTTTTCAGCTTYTTTCCCCCACTTATGACATTTTTGCTTCCAGACTGGTTCAGACTTTAAACACTGTAATTGTCCCGTATCTAAAGCTGAGCTTTTTGGTAAAACTCGTCTGTTAATCCCAAAACTGTTTTATCCTGTTTGTCACATCATCTGAGTTCTTGGCATGGTGTCCTGCTGGTGTCCTGGGTACCAGTGTCCAAAATTGTTCATGTAGCCTCCTGAGTGCACTGGTGCACTTTTGGCAGCCATGCTGATGTCCCAGAGAGAGCAGGGAGAGGAGGAGGAGGGTGGTGGGGGTGCGAGGGGATCTCCCTCAGGTCCGCAGGGCCCGTTCTTCATGATCTTCTTGTATTTGGATCTTTTGTTCTGGAACCAGATTTTTACCTGGAGGATGGAGTGTAGACAGCAGTTAGAAACCAAATGAAAACTGGGGTTTCATTTGCTCCCAGTTTGATATATGAAAAAAAGACTTTAAAAATGGTTAACATTTAAAATGATACCAAAATGAAAGTTCAACCAACAATTTATTAGTTTTGTCATAACAAATGTTTCGTGAAAAAAAAAATCAATTTTAGAAATATTTTGCAAATATATGATTAGTGTGAATACCACCAAAATAAATTACATAATATAATAATTTTTAAATTACATCAATAAAAAAGGGGTGTTAGAAGGTTAAATTTACAACATTTAAATGAATAAGTTTAATATGCAAAGTCAAAAAGTTTAAAGTGTTATTCTGGTTCTGGTTTATCTAAAAGTCATAACTGCAGGCTCTTAACTCGATGTGAGTACTTAATGGACAGTGCTATTCAAATGTTTTAAAATAATGTTCTGTCAACACACCACTTATCTCAGATGATTTAGTCACGATGCTGTTGACATAGTTGCAAACTGAGCATCAAATGACACCAAACCTCCTCCTGAGTAATTTCACATGAAGAATGAATGAATCATCAGTAACACCAGTTAAAACCCATCTGTGAAACAGGATTTAACTGCACTTCAAAAGAAAATGAATCCATCTTGCATGGAGAAAATCCAAACAAGAAAACTTTATGTGAAAAAGAAAGTAGAGAAAAAAGAAAACACTAGAACTGGTTTCTTTCTTGATATAATTTATGGTTCTGAGTTTATGAGAATTAGTGAAAAAAAGAAAAGAAAAAAAGGTCCAAGTGGGTTCACACACAATTTTGGATTCCATCTGCTCTAATTGACTTAAATTTTCTCATAAGTGTCCCCAAATTTTCACAGCCTTTTTTTCAGAATAAAATTTCATTAGATCTCTTTTTTCAGCTGACCTCAAAGCTTGTTTGAAGTGAAACAGGATTGTGAGAAACACATAAAATGGATTTATCACTCTGTAAATGTAGAAAACTGTTAGAATTTCAGCTCATTGTGCAATTATCTGGTAATAAAATAATAATTGTCTTTTGAAATTTTACTCCACACTTTTTCAACACAGCTGAAGTCATCTCGTTGTTTTTGACTCATTAACTGTATATAACCTGTATAACCTGTTTAAACCAGAGTATTTCAGTGTTTTGTGGGACACTACAAAAATTGCCTGTATTTTAATATTTACCTAAAGTTAGTAGCAAAGATTTTCACACCTATGATAATCTTCTATTTTTGTATCTCACAACCATAGGAGTAAAATAGATTTTCAATTTGGATATAAGTAATGAACTTGCACAAAATATTCAATTACATTAAATGGGTAAAAACTTGCTTTAAAGGTTTCCAAGAATATAAAACTTTAAATTGTGCCTGCTTTGAACCCATGACCTCCAGCAATCACAGAGCAGATGATGAATTCTGTAGTGCCAAATAAGCTCAGTGAAGCCCTGTGAAGTTTTGTTTCAGTTTGAGGATTTTTTTCATAAAACCTAACTACAGCAGTTTGTGGTAATCTCCGCAATATCACAGAAAACCAGAAATACAATACAGTAAGGAACATCAGGTTTTTTTGTGTTTTTTTCATGAGATTTCATGCTAAATCATTAAGCATAATATAATTTACTAATTATATTATATCATAAATTCAGTTCCATCAATAAATCAAATTTTATTTACAGTATATAGCACTTTGCAATATTGACGACTGAAAAGTGTTTTCCATTAATTCAGTAATAAAAATAATGAAAACAACAAACATCATTGGTAAAATAATCACAGGGTGCTACTGTGTGCTAAAATCAGTTCTAAACAAATCTATCTTTAGCTTATAGCTTTGAACAAAAATAGGATGAGCAATAAATTCCATAATTTTGGACCATAATTTTGACACCTGCCCTGTTTTCACAATCAGTATTTCTGCCTTCCTACAGGTTACTGTTCAGTACCATGTGGCATTCAGCTGTTTAGCTGTGTTTTTGGCTGTCTCTTACCACATTAAGATGCCATCCAAACTCGCTGTTCGTCTTTTCTGGACCGCATCCAATATTTGCATTTTTTTTCCCACAATTTGCTCTGTAACATCCTGTCAAAATCAGGGCTTCACTATATACACAAASCTGTTCTGAATCAACACCAGTTCAACATCTCTGAGAGGTACCGTCCACTATGCAGGATGAGACATCATGAAGACCAAGGACCACTCCACCCAGGTTAAAGACGAAGTTGTGATAATGTACAGATCGTAGTTGCGTTATAGAAGTTATCCCAAAACCCTGAACATTCCACAAAGTCCCCTTAAATATAGTTTTGGACCAAAGGCCTGAATTTAAAACATGGATCATAATGATGAGAAGAGAAGAAGTCACTGTGGCTGAAAGAATTCATGTTCCCTTTAGGTTAGTGGTTCTCAATGCTGGTCCTCTAGGACTCATATCCTGCATGTTTTAGACATTTTCCTGCTTTGGCACACCTGATTTAAATTAATGAGTGATTGGCAGTCTTCTTCAGAGCTTATAGACCTGCAAAAGAGCAGGGAAACAAATAAAACATGAAGAAGGATAGTCCTCGAGGACCAGGATTGAGAACCACTGCTTTAGGTTTGTATGTGTGAACATGAACACATCAAACTCTTCCAATATTCTGAAATGCTGGAGAAAAACCAAAGAAGAAAACTAAAACAAACAGCGAGCTGCCGTGTGTGTGAGACGGACTGAGATGGAGATGTTGTTGAAGAAAAACATCAGAACGGTGCTACGTGCCATTTCTCAGCTGCGTCTGGGAACATTTGTGATTTCAGTGGAAAGTGGTCAGTGTTTGGCTGGCAGCCTAATGGCATGAAGGCGGGCTGGAGACGTGATGCATGATCACTATCTGTGTGTGTATGTTTGTGTGTTTGTTCCTTCAAACGTGCCCAACTGGGCTACATATGTCTCAGTAGAGGCAGAAATATAAGTGTGTGTGTGTGTGTGTGTGTGTGTGTGTGTGTGTGTG